ATCCACGCTCTAGAAAGTGTATTTGAAAACTGGTTCAAAAGTACCGATGGTAGAATGGCTGCTCGCTTGCGAATATGTGTCACGGACACAAGTCGTCAGACTTTTCCGGCGTCTGCAATAAAGCTGCGATACTCGGATGACCGTAAAGTTGACTGCCTATAACGGATCCTTTATTGTGTTCTATAGATCCGTTTCTACGGCCACGTTTAACGCCATTTATCGAGTACTATGCACGTCATTAGGCATGAATTCGATACGTTGCTGTTGGGCTTTTACTGCGTGAATATACACTGGTAGAACCAATTGAAGGATTAGGTTTCTGCTAAATCAAACGTTTGTTTATTCATTGGAGGCGCAGCAAATTAACATGATGGTGCGCTCGCTCGGGAAATGTATCCAATTAGTCGAAGGACGATTGAGCTTTGGTAATACTACCGAAAACATTCCGGATACTTGTAGCGTCTCGTTCAGAGCGCGCCTCTTCGCTCGAGATGAAACGGAATCAAAGGTTTCTGTCCTTTTATCAGTTTTGCAATTGATTCTAAAATTTATCGGACGTTTGCTCATCTGAAAAAGCGCGAGGAATTTGAAAAAGTGACATCGCTAGCATTAGCATATATCAGTTACTTAACAAACGACATTTTCTCGAATTTTCCACATCTTATATTTACATTTGCAGAAATGCTTAGGAAGTTGCCGAGTTGCGATGTTTTGTTTTTGTATTTCAATTAAAGCCGTTTGTACGATTCTTTTTTAAAAAGTAAGCGGCTTGAAGCGGAATAGAGTTGCTCTTTGACACAGAACAGCTCTTTGAAAGTTGAAATTCTATTTTTTTTTTCCGTCAAAGGGTGCTTTGTTGTTTTAACTCCTACTGTAAAATAACAATAAACGACGGCTGTGTTTACTCCGAGATTGATGGTAGCGACAAAATGATTGAAATATTAAAAAAACAATATCGTTAAAAGAATTTTCGTGGAGAACTGTGGAAAGAAAATTGATAAAAGCAAATAAATGCATACAGATTAACTTACTAATGAAAGATATTTCTTATAGGAAAATAAATTACTAAAGAATATAAAAATGTATGCCATTTTATGTAAAAATATCAAAGGGAATGTCACCCGTCATTTAACGGTTGCCATATCAATTTTAAACACCTGTGAAATCCATCATTTTTTACATTTTGATAAATCCTTTAAAATACGTTTAAATATCGTCAAAGACTGCGACATAGTCAAATTTATACAAAACCTGAGATGCTGCACCATTTAATGTCTTATTAATACGTGAAACTATTGGAACAATAATTTTTCGCAGTAATTAATAACACACATTATCGCGAATTGAACAATATTTATACAATATGTTCAAAAAAGATTTGTTTGGGTTATGCTTGACCATTCTTAAACGGAATTTTCACGAACGGCTCATTGACCCCAATTTCTTTAATCTTGCAAGTTGGTTCATGTTACACGCAATGGAAATATTTACGTGCAACAAGATTGATACTTGCGTGAAAAGTTGAAAGAGAAAAGGCGGAGGAAAGAAAGAAAGATATAGGAGGTGTCAGAAATTCAATCTCACCGAGAATCGAACTCGAGACCTTCGGTTTACCAGACTAACGCTCTCCCAACTGAGCTACACTAGTCTTCACTTTCTATATTTTCGTAATATCTATCAGTACCACAAAAGACCGACTTCAAAAAAAGGTACAGTGAAAAGTATGAAATAATTTCTAGTTAATTTATATGAATACGCACTATCTTTAGATATAATTGCTCAAAAGTATGGGAAAATGCAGTGAAAAGCATGAAATAATTTCTAGTTAATTTATACGAATTTATCATATAAATCATCATTTATTTACGTTTTATCATTGTACTAAAAAATGACGCTGAGCATAAATAAGAACCCATTATTAACTTTTGAATTGAATCATAATCGAAAATGCAATCACTAAACTGTGGATTTTTATGCATTTATGGGAAATTTGAATGTGCGAGAAACCACAAAATGCACGCAGTATGTAATAATATATAATTATATAGAATGAATCTAATCTGTTTTCATCAAATGCAAATCTATCTGCATTAGTTTAGTTTCTTTTACCTCGCCTATTGTTGAGGTTCGAAAATCGTTCAATGCCGCGTAAGGATTCCGCCAGCGCAGCGATTTGCATCTTTTCATTAATCGGATTCCGTCGTTGCTTTAAACAGAGTGTGGCCGTAAATCGTGGTACCCTTGATTAGAAAAACATCCATCGCGGACAAATAAATCGAAAATGCCAAATAAAGTTTCAGAATTCAAAATTGGATTGTTTTTAATCATTTTAATTGAATTCTTTACTCGTTGAATGTAAAACATTAGAGGAGAGTCCCTAGCCAAACCAAACGGTTGCTGGATTTTTGCACTAATGAACCAATTACGATACCAATACGATAAATATTATAGATAATGTGATGCAAAGCAGAAAATCACGAGAATTCAAATAATATGTGCGTATAATTTTCTTGAACTATTCGAAGTTTAGAAATGGGGATATTTATTAGATGAAATAAGTGGTACGTGTTTAGTACCTCGTGGATATATTATAATAATAGAAAAATATTAAACTTTTACGATACCTTGATCCAAAACCGAGAATATGGAGATTATTAAGAATACCATTAACATATTAGCTGGCCAATGCAATAAGAAAAGCATCACAAACTTCGTTCGCTATCCATTTGCTGTAGAATGGGGTGGCATCGAAGTAGTTCATGTGTATCCCGACCGCGGGTCAATATGTGTTTAAGTAAAAGCGTTTTACGACTTACACAGGCTATTTTCAAATTCATGTGTTGGATGCCCAACCTTCTACCAGCGGACAGTGTTTGACACGAAGCTTCTCTGTAGCGGATATTTTATAATAGCATTACGCATCATTTACGTCAATTACAAATTTCGAGGGGAGAAACTCCATTGGAAGGCCAAATATTACACGTTTTTCGTGATTTTTATAATAGAGAAAAATTTACTTAATTTTTGTTGAAGGTGTGTTTAAAAATACAAGATCAAGATGTTATTCCAAAAAATCACAGAATCCACATGGAATCAATAAAGAATACTCCTAAATACACTGGAATGAAATATTCGAACTACTTCTCTCATTTCTGACTTTGTAGGATCTTGAAGACCATTGTATCGTACATGGATGATTTCGTCTTGATACACGTTTTATATTGCACAACAAAATATACAACATTGCATTAAAAAATTACAGGTTGCTTTCGTTTCTCCAAAAAAAAGCAGACTCAGATGAAAATTTCCTGTAAGAAATAACTTATATCTACGTGAAATGAATTCTAAAAATTAACAAACATACTTTAAAGCGTACCTAAAATATTCTCAAAGTTAACAAAAATTGAATTAAATTTTTCTCTGTAAACAAAAATCACAAAAAACAGTTTAACATTTGGCTACCTAATGTGGTTACCTCCTTAAAGTCTCGAAGCACACAGTATTTTAAATTAAATCGAAGAAAGCTCAAGTAACACAACTTAACGAGTTGTAATACACTACCATTATACTCCCCTGCCTTTTCATTTGTCTCTTTATAGGGTGTTTCGCGCACGGAGTACTTTAACTTCAATATTTTTCGCCAGCAAACGGAGAACGGAGGCAAATATGTGCTCGTACTCCGTGGTAGCTGCGCGCATGCAGGTAATGCGACGGGAATATATGAGACTTCGGTATTGAGGTACGTAAACACTTACTTCTGTATAGAAAATATCACAGACCGACACTCTGTAAAGTTTGCACTCGAAAGACTCCTGTTAAATTTACGACATAAAAGCTCACGGGGCGAAGTTTCATTCAAATCATAGATTTATTCAAATAATAGAACGAAACACACCGTGCACCGATTTAGAATCAACGTTTATTCCGATAAATTCTTTTATTCGTTCAACGCGAAATATGCTTTCAGTTTATAAATCGAATTGTCATTTTATGCAACAAACGGTGCGGCGGATCAAAAGCTATCGATGCTTTTCGAAATTTTGATACAGAAATTTCGTATTTGTTCCGACGGGATCGATAGGATAAATTGTATATAAATTATAGAAGTGTTAGTATTTCCACAATAGACACTTTTCGTAACGAGTGAATGGGGTTTTGGAATTTTATAACGTTATTTATATTTTATTCGCCGTTTAGAATTTGTTGGATACGAAATGTGCTCATCATTGGTGCAGAGCAAATTTTCTTAATTGCAAAGAGACGAAGACTTACGTTCTGAGGCATAAAACATTTCTATTACCTACAAAAGTAAAATCTGAATGTTCCATGACCAAGAGACGAGCAGAGAACGCCTGATTGTTTTAGGAATTTCCAATTTTGTTCAGTAAACTTAATATACGCAGGGAACCTCGTGGAAAAGAGCATCAATCGTCAAACGGCACACGAGAACCAGCGAACGGAAATCCATTGAGAATATTAAAGAATGCGAAAACCTTTTCTATCCAAGGTAACAAGTTCCAACTATTTTTCAAGAGTGCATCAAGATAAATAAAATAAATAAATAATTGTAACGTTACTTCTATCGATATTTGACAAAGAAAACACAATCCTCCCCTATTAACTATTCGAATTGTTACAATTGGAACACATACTCAGGTGCGACGGCCTGTATAATTTAAAAGATGAAAGTAGCGAAGACTAAAAAAAATAAATAAAAAATAGTATTACTTCTATTGATATGTCTCAAAGAAAACACAACCCTTTTCTAGCAATTGTTTAAATTGTCACAATTGGAACACATATTCATGTGCGAGAGTCTGTATAATTTAAAAGATCGAAGTAGCAAAGGCTAAAATCGTTATCGATTCATTGTATCGCTGAAGACTATCAACAGCGTTCTCGTACTAAACGGTTCCAATTTCAAGGAAGTGTTTTCCTGTATCTTGTCGAAATGGACGCGGGACTTCCGTTCGTGTGTTCGAGAGGATTAGAGGACTCACCTCGAAGACCTCGAGTTCCAGCGTGTCAACCTCGACGCTCATCGTCTATCCTACGCAAACTATAAACCTTCTATAAGGCCAACCTCTTCTTCCTCGTGGCACTTGAGCCGTGCCGACGAGACGATGTCCGCCTCGCCTCTTACATATTTCCACCTGGATCCCTCCTCTTCTTCGTCCTCGCGAATCATTGCAGGTGCAGGACGGCATTAGCCCGTTATCTTTACCTTCGTTAGACGACGATGCTTTTGTATGACAGCGTTTCCACTAAACCACGAATGGCACCGTCCTTTGATCGGCATTTTCCTTTCAACGATACCATGTACTCGCACTACCTGTTATCGCTACGCTACAACGTCTCTTTACGAGTTGCTCCGTGTCGTTGAGAGATCGGCCGGAAATCGGCCAGGTTCTTCGACGTCGTTGCGCACTGGGTCACAGCATAATTCCGCGACGCCGAGTCCTTCTACCGGAGCGACGAGCGAGAAATTCGAATATTGCGATCGTGTCACGTGACAGTATCGAGGCGACGATACCGGAGCGAAACCTCGATACATTTCAGATAGTCGAAGGCGGGTACCCAAGGCGCGACTTTCGAGAACTGCCGACGGTCACGCGGCCTTCTATGCGGTTCGAGGGGATTTCTGCAAAGAAATCGTTGCTGTCACGTGACCTGCATGTATACGCCAGCAATCTCTTTACGTTTGCGGACGCACGTAGGGCGCGGTTACCGTCGATGATGATGGAAATTGGGGAAACGTTCTCGTTTGATTAAATAATCGCTTTACGATTACGATCAAATTGCGTAGTTTGCTCGTGGCAACTAGAAATACAAAATATTTTGAGTTGCAGAGGTTTCGTTTTATCGAGGGTCAATTGACAGGGCCTTGATAAGCAGTTTTGGTTTACGAAGGTACCTTCGTGCAATCGATAGTTGTATTATTTGTAACCGACTTCGAAAAGGAGGAGGTTATACATACATATATTTTATACATATATTTTATACATATATATATATATACATATGTATACATATATATATATGTATATATGTATGTATAAAATATATATATGTATATAT